TCCGCAGCAGCCCTCCCCGAGCGGGGCCCCGGGGCCGCGCACCTGTAGCAGTGCAGGGCGGTGAGCATCATGTGCGATGAGTCCAGCGAGTGGATGAAGTTGGGCGGGAAGCCGTTCTTCTGCTTCAGCGTGTTGGGCCTTCTGGGGGGACAGTGGCGCTGAGGCAGCCAGGTCACCCAGGCGCCGCCCGCCGCCGCGCCCCAGCCCCGGGCGCACTCACTGACTGGTGTCCCCGCTGCTGCTGAGGGTGAGCGTCTGGATGCCCCCGTTGATCTGTCGGGAGGGGAGGCAGGGGTGAGCCGGCCCGCTGGGCAGGGGCGGGCGGGCGGGGCCGGGCCTGCACGTACCAAGACCTTGCAGTCGACGTGGTAGGGCTGGATGACGGGGACGCCCAGCGGCGTGACCCACTCCACGGCTGAGCCGGACTGCGAGATGAGCCGGGCGGCCTCGGTGAGCCAGTGCTGCGGGAGGCACCGGGCTCAGGCGGGCTCCGGCCCGGGCGCCCGGGTCACCCTCCCCCTGCAGGGCCGCCGGCCACACACCTGGATGGCCCGGGAGCCCGAGAACATCTCCTGGAGGCTGTTGAACACCTGCCGCACCAGGTAGTGCGAGGCCTCCCACACACACTCCTTGGGTGGGGACACGGTCGCGGTCAGGTGGGGGCCCGCCAGGAGCTCGGATCCCCACCCCGCCTCTCAGGCGGAAGGAGGAGGTCCGGGCCCCACAGCCCCTGCTGGCCGCGGCCCTGACCGGGGGCGCTGCAGTGGGCGGGGCGGGGAGGAAGCAGGGGCGGGGGCGCCCACCTGGGGGAAGCCGTCCAGCTCCCGCAGGCGCTTCTCGATCTGCAGGCGGCCCCCGTAGCGGGTGACTCCGTACACCACGGTCATCACCGTCTGCTTGACGACCTTCCGGCTGATGAAGCCCTCCAGCACCTGGGCCACGGGCACGCCCTGCTCGGCGTCCTGTCTGCGGAACACCTCCACCTGGGCGGGCCTGGGGGTCAGGGCGCCGGGCCCTCGGGCCCCCCTCACCTCGCCGGGGCCCCCGACTGCCCCACGCCGTCGGTGCCCACCTGCGCGGCCACGCCGCTGTACACGTCCTGCGGCAGGTGCGAGGGCATCAGGTTGACGGCCGCAGCGCCCACGCTGTCCCGGCCCAGGGCGGCATAGTGCTGCAGGCCATTACAGGAGCCGTCCTGGGGATGCGGATGGGGTGTTGTCACGTCGGCACGGGGCCGGGGGCTCGGAGGGCAGCGCCAGGCAACGAGCCACAGCCCGGGTTCCCCCGGCCCCGCCAGATGCCACTGCTGAGGGCTGCGGGGTCGGGGTCGGGCAGGGAGCTGGCCCCGGAGCTGGTCGCACAGCACAGACGGGACTTGCAGGAGCTGGACACACACTGTCCTCGGGCCTGCCATCAAGCCCCCACAAGCTAGGCCCACCCGACGGCAAGGTCCCCTCCAGCTCACCTGGTGAATAGGGAAGTGGGAGATGTAGGCGGCGGGGTCGGGGCAGCGCGTAGCCCGGGCGATCTCCATGCAGCAGGCCAGGGCCTGCCAGGGCTCATCCACCTGCATCCACCACTTCCGGCCCTGCAGCGAGGAGGGCAGGTGCTGGCTGGGCCTGGTCCGGGTCCCGGGGCCGGTGGGCAAGAGGCTGGGCGGCGGGAGAGGCCGGGGTGAAGGGGCCGGGGCCCCGGCCGGGCCAGCAGAAGCACGGCAGACGACCGCAGCGGTCTGCCCGGGGAGGGGCGCGGGTGCGAGGTGGGGGACCGTCCGAGGGCCGCGGCGGACACAGCGTGGCCCTACCGTCATGGGCCGGTCGGCAGAGTCCAGGATGTCGTCCATCCTCTCGTTGGCGAAGGCCAGGCGCCCCTGCAGCGACTCGTGCTTCTTCAGCCCGGTGAGGTTCACCAGGTGGATCTTGAGCCAGTCGAGGCCGTGGGGCCCGAGCGGGCGGCCTTCAGCAAACTCGAGCAGGGCGCGTGCCAGGTCGCTGCCCAGATGGTTGAAGTGCGGCGGGCAGGGGTAGGTGCGGCCCCTGAAGTCCATGTTGTGGGGCAGCCAGAAGATGTGGTTTCGCAGGTGCTGGGCCAGCGAGAGGCGGTACAGCGCGTCCGCCCGCAGGCTGTGCATCTCCCGGGCCACCTTGAGGCAGCGGGCCAGCTCCCGGCGCACCTCGGCCTTGTGGGCAGGCGGGGTGTCGCGGGGCAGGCGCGTGGAGGGCGGCGGGGGCGCCTCGGAGGCGGGGGCCGGCACCCCCAGGCGCGGGCAGCCCTTGTCGGTAAAGAGCTGCAGCACCAGGTCCAGCACGACCCCGTTGACACGCCAGGCGCAGTTGCCCAGCTGGGTGAGCGCGTCCAGGGCGCCGTGCAGGTCGGCGGGCGGGCAGCTGTCCAGCAGGCGCTGGTGCTGCGTGGTGCCCTCCATCGAGCGCATGAGCTTGGTGGGGCTCAGCAGGAAGGCGCCCGAGTGCGGCGACATCCAGGGGAGGGGCGGGCACAGCATGGGCATCTCGCTGGCCTCGAAGGTCAGGACGCGCTCGGCGGCACGCTCCACCAGCTGCGTGAAGGCCGGGTGCGGCTTCAGGATCCCAATCTAGAGGCGGCGGGCGGCGGGTCAACGCGCAGGCGACCCCGGCAGACACCTGACGCGCGCTGGCAGGCGCCCCGCTCTCCCCGGGGCCACGGCCTCACGTCAGGCCCCTGCGCGGGGGGCTGTCCGGCACCCACCTGGCGGTAGCTTCGGAAGGAGTAGGCGTGGTAGAGCACAGGGATGTTCCTCTGGTCGCCATGCGGCGTGGCCAGGCAGTTGGGCATCTGTATGGCCTTCACCAGCACCTCCGCCAGCTGCTTGCCCAGCTGCACCAGCACAGGCAGAGGCCAGGGCTGCTCGGGGGGGGTCTCGGGCAGCCCCAGTGCCTCCCAGTGCTGCCTTGGCAGGCAGGGTGTCGCCACCTGGGGGCAGCAGGCTGGGTCAGAGGTGGGGGCGGGCAGAGCGCGGGGCGCCCCGCCACACCCGCAGGGAGGACGACTGTTGTCTGTGGCCGAGGAAAGGGAAACTGAAGCGGCAGGGCTGGGGGGAACCCAGACACCCCAGGGAAGGAGCGCGGGGCGCCGACTTCCCCGCTGGGTGCCCCGGTCTTGGGGGGCCCCGGTCTTGGGGGTCCCCGGGCACCGCTCGGCCTTGGCCGTGGGCCTCACCTGGGTGTCGGACGCCAGCAGGTGCAGGTACTTGTGGTAGCGCTGCTCCAGCAGCTCGACCTGCTTGGTGAGCCGCTTCCTCTGCACCGTGTAGCGGTTGAAGACCCGCAGGCCCAGCTCTTGCGCCACCGACAGCAAGGACTCTCCGTGCGGGGACAGCGTCTGCAGGCTCTGGGGCGGCGCTGTAAGCCTCCGCCCCCCCCGCCCCCCGCCCCCGGGCGCCCGCACCCACCTGCAGCAGCAGCTGCACCAGCTCCTGCTCACCGAGCAGGCACAGGTAAGGGAAGACGGAGGGGAAGCCCTCGTGGGCGGCTCGGGCCTCTCGGACCTTGGCCACCTGCAGAGCCTGGGCCAGTGCCTCCTCCCACTGCGCACGCAGCTCGGCCAGGACCTTCCGCTGCCGAGGAGGGAGGAGCGAGGTCACTACCACGTCCTCAGGACCCCGGGCAGAGACTCCAGAGGCCACGGGAGGGACACGGCCCCAAGGCAGGGTGGGCGGAAGGCCGGGGGGGGGCACCCCCTCCCTGGTGCCACGCCCAGACTGCCCCGAATCGCCAGTCCACCCCCAGGCCCCCGAAGCTGGCCCCTCACCGCACGCAGGATCTCCGTGGTCTCCGGCGGGGCCTTGTCCACGGACTGCACATGGACGACGGTGGCCAGTTCGATGCGCAGCTGTTTCCGGAAGAGGTCTTGCAGCGTCTTCAGGGGCAGGTGCAGCTTGGGGTAGGACGCGGGACGGTCCTGCGGCGGCACCGGCCGGCCACGCGTCAGGCGCTGCTCACGGCTGCCCGTCGCGCAGGCCGACAGGAGGAAGAGCCTCTGCCGCCTGCCCTCCGGCCCTCCCCAGGCGCCACCCCACCAGCCCGGCAGAATCCAAGTCTCCTGAGAATGACCTGGACCCCAGGGGAGCGCGGACGGCCGACGGAACAGCCGGGCAGGTAGGCCCGGGCGGGCCGGGCAGCGGCCGCGGCCAGACAGGACCAGGGCAGCCAGGAGGGCTCCTG